AGCACACACAAATCTATGCACTTTCCTAAACCTACCCACAGAAACCCTTGGGGGCAAGGGGCAAGCACTCGGCGGCACACACACCCCACAGAGCCAGACCCGTGTCTCCTGAGCCTCAATAATGCACAATCCATACCGGGAGATAAAAGTCTAGACAATAGACGGCTGTTTATGACAATGGGGCTCTCCAAGTTTGGAGCCAGGTGATAAATCTCTGGTGAATCTTCCTGTAACTCAACTTCTGGCTGTAGGGACGAGAGAACCACGGAGACCACAGAGAGAAAAGCAGCAAAATGGGAGAGACTTTTAAATCGCGAGCAGAAGGCGACTTCCCCGCTGGGGCAGGACAGGGCAGGCGGCCACACTCGCCCCACATGGCGCATCCACACTGTGGAAGCTTTTGGATCAAGGTTCAGCACACAGGCGAGTCAGGTTTCCTGGCCCCCCGGAAATTGGGGCGAAGTGTACAGGCAGATGGTGGGGCCTGGAGGCTGGAACAGACCCACAAACCGTTCTTGCTGCAGGCAAAAGGGTCTTTTTTTGTTGGTGGTGACCAGAATCTTCCTGCTATGCGTCACCCGAATTTTTTCATCCCAGTCCCCCTCTTCTCCCTAGTGTTCTCTCTCTTTCTCTCTCTCTCTCTCTCCACCCCCCCCTTTTCCTTTTTGGATTGATGGGCTGTTCCCTTTTGCATTTTCGACCCAGGCGTCTGATTACAAGTAAAGAGCCACTGAAGTTCATCTCATAAAAATGCCGCGAGCTCACTTTGATCTGCATGGACTGGGTCCGAGCCTAAGTAGGCGCTAAAGCCAGGGAATGGCGGCTCGGGCCAACCAGCCTCCGCTTGGCGGCGGGGTGGCCAGAGATCCGGGTGGCCCAACAGGGCAATCTGGCCCAGAAAAGACATTTCTGTGCTGCTGCAACTGGGTTTCGGACACCAAGGTCCAATAGTAGAGGCTCCAATTCAGACTGCTTTTAAGACATTTCCTTCATTTTAGAGCATTTGGTGAGGGGCCCAGTGAAACTGGCTCATAAAATGGGACTTTTATGGGAAGAAATGGGGTCGCGTTGCTAGCCTCCCGGGACAATCCCTCAGCGGAGGAAGGTGGGTGGGGCTGTGGGGGGGCGGAGAAGCTGCCCTTCTCCCTCCCCCTGTCACTTCCAGGAGCCGAGGAACCTTGGAGCAGCGTCCACCAGCTTAGGGGACCTGACTTGGGCCCTTGAGCTTGGGGCGATGGCCAGGGCTGAGGAGAGGTGGGGGCCAAGAACCAGCAGTCCCACCCCCCCCCTCTAGTTCTTTGGCTGAGGGTGAGATGTGTCCTGGGATGCAAGGTAAACCGCTGGCCTAAAAATCCCCAAGCACACTATAGAGGAATTATTAAATGCTTCCGATTGCTCTAAGGCGAGAGAAAGACGTGCAAGAAGGTATGAGCCGATTTCTAATGAGGGTTCATCCTTGTGGGCCAAGCCTCCGAGCGCTGAGGTTGTCCACACGCCTAATGCTTATCTCTTACTGACTCCACATGGGACTGAACTTAGAGTCCAAGCCCACTGGAGCTCTAATGGTCCCTCTTTCTCCTCTCTTGGCTTTCCCTCCTGGTGCATGGTCTGTGGGATGGGCCCCTTTCCCCGGTTACCCCAATCTGTTCTCTAGAATCGGGAGGTGGACAAGCTGCAAGGCCAGCCAGCGCTGTGGGTGGGGTCTCCCATGCGGGGATTCAGAATTCAGGAGATACTACCCCCTTCTGAAGCCGCCTCTGGTGTCCGCATGTGGAAGGGAGCGTCACTGGAGTCTGTTTTGGTCCTGGCCAGAGTACCGCATCAGCTGCCTGGACTGGACTGCAGCTGCCTGGAAGCTGCCAGGCAAGCAGGCAGGCTGGAGGTGCTGACTGAGGCCACCAAGAACCGGTGAGCTAGGCAGGATGGCCCTGCCCTGGAGGATTACAGGTGAAAGATGGGACTCCAGGATTGTGGAAGGGCCCCAGGCACCCATGAGAGGGGGGAGGGGAAGCCACCTCCCGCCAGGGAGTGGGGCTTGCCAGGGTTCTTAGGAACTGATTTGGGGCCACAGTTGAGTCTCATGTTGGGGAGGTGCACTGATACCCTGGGGTGCAGCCTGGGGCAAGCGCCACAATCTATGCTTTGGAGTGATCCTGGACCGAGGGTTGGGCAGGGAAGCGGCCAGCCCACACTGTGGGCATTTTTGCCCATCAATACCTTGCTGACCTCATTGTCCAGGGCCTTCTTTCCTTGACCCGGGCAGCAACCTCCAGTTGCTGGGATTTTTAAAAAGTTGTTGAAAAATTAAAAGTCGGACCAAAACTAGGAAAAAAAATTGAACTTCATGCCTTACTTTTAGGGGGAAGAATATTAATTCTCAGAAGCCTCTGTTGGGAGACCTAGGGTTTCCTGGACATCAACTTCTTTGACATTCTTTCTTGCCTTCTTTTTTGTTTCAAGGAAATAAAGCCGCCACTGGCTCCTTGCAGCCGCCTGGCTCACTTTTATGGTGGCCCTGGAATAAACTTTGGTGGTCAAATTCAAGTGCTCAGGCCCACAGCTGGCTCCTCACAGGAAGCGTACCCCTCCCCACTGTCGGCCCCTGCAGTACAGAATTTGCCTTGGGGGCTTAGGCCCCACATCGCCCTGGAGACCAGGATGGAGAAGGAAGCAGGGCCCTGGGGGAACTGGGAAAAGAAGCTGAGACTCTGAACTCTTATCCTCACCTCTGCAAGGGATAGGGGTACCTCTCACTTCCCTCTTGCTGGTTCCTATCACTGTTTGGAGAATATTTTGCCTCCAATAAACTTGAGTTTAATGAGGTCAGCACGAACCCCATAAAAGCCATAGTCCATAGTTCCCCATCATTATAATTAAAAAAAAAAAACGCTAGCCCCAGGTCACCCTATAAAAAGAGGTAGAGGAAGGAGGAAAGCAACAGATTTTTCTTCTTGCAGCTCCTCACTGACAGAGAAGTCCCACACTTTAGCAAAGCCACAATCTGGTTCCTCTTTGCCGTCATTTAAGATCTGGCCAGGACTAAAGAAGGGCTCAGGAAGTATGGCCCAGCAAATAATGGGTAGAGGGGTATCCTTGGGTATTCCAGAGCCACCCCAAGCATGAGACCCGTGGCCAATGTGGCTCCACTCCAGGTGATGCTCTAAAGGCTGAGCAAATTTGGGAAGGCAGGAGGATTGAGAAGGAATGGATTTGGGGAGTTATATCTGGGGACATGAAAAAATTTTATGTGTCTTCTCCGTCTGGTTTTGGGGCCTCAGTACGTGTCGCCAATCTCAGCAAGGAAAATCAAATCCAAATAGTATTTGTAAGGTAGAAATCAATTTTAACCAAGAGTTAGGGGTTAAAAGAGGGTTTGGGCTATTTCTGGCTTTCCCTGAGTCCTTGCAGGGCTTCAGTCCTCCCCTCCTGCCTGAAAAAATCATGCCCTGGTAGCTCCTCTTTGGATCCAAGGTTGCTTTCTGCTTATGGCGATTGCTCTGGCCCTTGGATCCAGTCCAGAACCTTTTAATAAAGTGATTCGCAGCTGCCTAGATGTGTCCCATGGTGCCCAGAGGGATGAGAGGTGAAGGAGGGCAGAACCACTGAGTCCACCTCTTGGGCCACAGATGTCTAGGAGGCTGGTGGACATGGAAGAGGGCAGAGAAGGGCTGAGAAATGGGAAAGAGGCACCAAGGCCTGCCTACAGCCCCCTGGGAGCAGGGCTAGAGGGCCTCCATTAGGGAGTGGTCCTTGGCCCTGTCCTGCCCACCCAGGTTCCTCAGCTCCCTTCCACTCCCCTGCTAGTCTGTCCAGCAGACCCACACCTGGCCCCACTGCCCACCTCCCAGCCCCCAGATCATTCAAGGATAGGAACCCCAAACCCAGCCCCCCATATTCTTCCTGGACCCTGATTCCAGGCTTCTTTTTGGCCCCCAAGCTCTGAGGCTGAGCCCCCAACCCAAAGGATCCCAGACAGGGAAAATACATGGCTCTCATTCCGATCTTTATCTTTGGGGTTTGAGATTTCAAAATCCACAGTGGATGTAGCTTTCTGCACATTGATTGACAATAAAGGCAGGCATGAAATATTCACCCAGGGCCACTCTCTCATACTAAATATTTAACACAACATTAGAGAAGGTTTTTCCCAGACTTCGCCAGGCACCAGCTGGGCGGCTGGCGCACTGCTTACCACTCGTTTATGACTAATCTGAGTCCCTAGCCGCAGGCAGCACAGCAAAGCCAGACAAAGTTGGGACCCTGGCTTGCTGCTGGGCTGCCTCACCTTTGGAAAACTTCACATACTCTTCTGAGGAGTCTCTCCAAAGGGGAAAGGGAGTCCTGACACACAGCCCTGGCCAAGAAAAGAATGGACGTCTTCAAACTCTTGTAAAGAGGCACTGGCCCTCTGCGGGCTGGTGGGGTAAGAGTCCCTGAGAGTTGGGGGGAAGGATTCACATCTCCCGCGGAAGCAGGCGGTGGAGAAAGAGGTCTTCATCCCCACCTCAGTCTCGGGCTCATCATCGGGAAGAGGCAAGACCCCCCAGAGGTGGGAGTCCTCCTCCTTCCCTCAATCCTGGGGTGGGGGGAGAGCAGCAGCTAGAAAAAAATACAGTTACCCCCTCCCCGCCACCGCCCCCCCCCCCCGCCCATCCCACCGCCCACCCCACCCCAACCCTCTCTCTCCTCCTTTGCTCGCTCTGTGGAATGGTGAGGAGGGGAGTGACGACAGAAAAACGAATACAAATCTGCAATTGATTTTCATAATGTTTCTGCGGTGTTTGCAAACCAATCGCCTGAACGTCCCCATCTTACCTAAGAGAGAACCCCTCCTACGTCTGCGAAGTGCTCCGAACTGATATATGACAATATCTACTTTGGATCACGTGCTCGGGGAGAGAGACTAAGACGGATAACGCGTCATCTCGCCTTCCCAAATTTTCCCCCCTCGCTAGATCGTGTCCAAAACCTCCATCTGGAGCCGTCAGGAGAAGAGAACGATGTTTAACTCGGTCAACCTGGGCAACTTCTGCTCGCCGTCGCGCAAGGAGAGGGGCGCTGATTTCGGCGAGCGAGGGAGCTGCGCCTCCAACCTCTATCTGCCCAGTTGCACTTACTACGTGCCCGAGTTCTCCACGGTCTCCTCCTTCCTGCCCCAGGCCCCCTCTCGTCAGATCTCCTATCCCTACTCAGCCCAAGTGCCCCCGGTCCGGGAGGTCTCGTACGGCCTGGAGCCATCCGGCAAGTGGCACCACCGGAACAGCTACTCCTCCTGCTATGCGGCGGCCGACGAGCTTATGCACCGGGAGTGCCTGCCTCCTTCCACGGTCACCGAGATCCTCATGAAAAACGAAGGCTCCTACGGCGGCCACCACCACCCCAGCGCCCCGCACGCAGCCCCCGCCGGCTTCTACTCCTCAGTCAACAAGAACAGCGTTCTGCCTCAAGCCTTCGACCGTTTCTTCGACAACGCCTACTGCGGGGGCGGCGACGCGCCGGCCGAGCCCCCCTGCCCAGGCAAGGGCGAGGCCAAGGGGGAGCCTGAGGCGACCCCGGCCTCGGGACTGGCGTCCCGGGCTGCGGCGGGGGCCGAGGCCGAGGCCGAGGAGGAAAACACGAATCCCAGCTCGTCCGGTTCAGCCCACTCGGCGGCCAAGGAGCCGGCCAAGGGAGCCGCCCCCAGTAGGTAGCCGCGGCCGGGATACAGGCGGGCAGCGAGGGAGGGAGCGCGAGAGGGAGGGCGAGAGCAGGGGGGAGGCGAGGGGAGCGGGGACGGCCTCGTGTTTTGGGTCAGTCCGATTTTATGTGGAGTTTTATAAGCATTCAAAGGATTTTATTATAACCTACAAAGCCCTCTCTCCCAACGACTCGACTTTTTACGATGGAGAAGGGGTGGGGAGGGAGGGAAAAGGGCTCTTTGGAAAAGCCGGGTGAACCCCCCCTCCCCGTTATCTCCCTCGGTCTGTGAAATTTTTAAAAGCGCCACCATCGCGAGCGATATTAACTTTGATCGTGAACTTAGAAGAGCATTTAAGGAAGGATGGGGAGCCGGGCTGCCGGGGGGTGGGACGGAGGGGAGGGGTGGAGGGGGAGAAAGGGGAGGGCGATGGAAAGACAGGGAGAAACTCAGAGAGGGGGAGTGGTGGGGGAGAGGCAATGGAGCAGAACCTGAGACCGGAGAGGCCAGCCAGGACTGCTCTGCTTCTTTTAAAAACTATTTTTGAAATGTTCAAACTATGTGTTCACGGGTCCTTGAGCAGAACCCCAGCAAGCCGGAGGTCATGGCGACAGGGGGTGGGGAGAGGCGGCTCAGGGCTCCGCGCGGCTCCAGGCCCGGGTCTCAGTGTTTCCCTGCGGTCCGCGGCCTCAACGCCGGCCTAGCCCGGTAGCGTGGAAGGCGCGGCCCGCCGGGCGTCCCGGGGCGCCAGGGCCCCCGGAAGCGGCTCTCGGGTGTCTTTGGTGCCTGCTCGCTCGCTTCCTTCCCGTCTCCACACTGCTCTCGCCCGCTCTCACTTCGCGCCTGTTCTCCGCGATCCCCCCAGATTTCTGCGGGAGGGGTGGGTGGCTGCTCAGAGCCACTTGGAGGGCAGCGCAGGAAGGGGCTGAGGACCGCGGTTGAGCCGGCGGGTCCCCCGAGACGCACTTGGCCCGGCTGGTTTCCTTCTCCCCCAGACTCCACCAGCCCGGGCTCTCGCCCGAGGGGAGGGGCGGCGACCCCGCGGTGGCCGGGGATCGGTCGAGCCAGACCTGGCAGGGGGTCCCGGGCTTGCCCCAGCACTGCGGCCCGAGTGGGGAAGGCAGGCCGGCCTGGCGGGAGGGCTGCCTGGCGGTGGGGCTGGGAGAAGGGCCGCTGAGCGCTCAGCGGGCTGGGGTCGCCCGGGTCTCACGTGTCTCTCTCCCCTCTCCTCGCACTTGCCCCCTCCCCTCCCCTCCAGACGCCCCCCGCACCCGCAAGAAGCGCTGCCCTTATTCGAAATTCCAGATCCGGGAACTGGAGAGAGAGTTTTTCTTCAACGTGTATATCAACAAAGAGAAGCGGCTGCAGCTGTCCCGGATGCTGAACCTGACGGACCGACAAGTGAAAATTTGGTTTCAGAACAGAAGGATGAAAGAAAAAAAACTAAGCAGAGACCGGCTGCAGTATTTCTCGGGAAATCCTCTGCTGTAACCGCAGACCGGGCCCTTTACGGGGAGGGGGAAAAGGGGGGAAATTATTTTATTTTATTTTATTTTTTATTTTCTAACTCGCTTTCTTTCCGCGGGTGGAAAACTGGACTGTGGCCAGGGCTGGCCCCCACTGCCGTCGCCCCCACTTCTTTCTGGAACCTCCTTCACCTTCCGTCTGACTCGCTGTGGGACAGGGACCGGGCCTGGAAAGAGGGTGAAGGGAAGTGTCTAACCCACGGCGAGTGGACATCGTTGGCGCCGAGGCCAAGACTCTCTTTAAAAGAAAACACACCTCGCGACAATGTCTTGCTGCTCGGATTGGGTGGGGGAGGGGCGAGAGTAGTGGGCGCCTGAGGAAACAATCTTTGAGCTAAAAGCCTTCCCTTGCCCAAGTGATAAGATCTGCTAAGACGCCGCGTCTGTGAGGGGAGACTTCTTGGGCTCCCCACCCCTACCCCACCTCGCCCCACTGCTAGGGGGCAGCTAAATGTGATCCTGCCTTGCTGTGAAATTTCTGTACCTTCGACCTGGTGTTAGGTGTGCAAAGTCCGTGTCCTACCGCCGTCTGCGCCCAGGCCCCGCCTGAGCCTAGTTGTTCTCCCCGTGAACGTGTAGAGCCCTCCTTTGAAATTTCTTAACTGGTGCATCGAGGTTTCCTAACCTATCTCCAAGCCGTGCCCCACTCCATAGATTTATAGCTATAGTCTATGCAGTTGTTACCTCCTTTTTTTTTTTTTTTTTAAGGAAGAAAAAAAAGATTAGGTTGGAGGAGGCAGGAGGGAGGTGGGATTGGGTGCCTCCCCCATGCTGGGGCCTGAATTTTTGTAAATAAATTTCACAAGCGTTTCTTTCTACCCAGAGGGGATGGGGGGGGGGGGACTCGCCTGGAATGAGATTCAAATCACCCATCTCTCCATGAGCGTGAGTGTGCGTGTACGTGTGCAATCCCCACCCTGCTCCCGTCCCAGAGGGATTGCTGTGAATTTTTTTTTTGGTGGCAAATAAAGATATTTCATTCTGTTCAATATTATGATTTTATTTGACCCTTCTATTAGCCCCTCTCCTCTTAAAATCCTCAGTGCTCCCAAGGTGGAGGAGAAGGATGGTGGGTAGAGCCCAGCTGGTGAGGACAGGCGTGTGAAGGTGAGGTAGGCCCGGGCTGGTGGGCCTGCACCCTCTCTTCGCTGGCAGGGGCAAGAGCGTGGCGGTAGCGTCCTCCTGCTCTCAAGCTGAGGACATTCCACGGCTACTCTTAACACTCTCCTTTCTCACGTGCAGCTCAAGCTGCGTCCAAACGCCCAGCCACGCTTTCCGTTTAAGTACACGTTTGTTGTGGAGTTAATTGTAACCATCATCGAATTTAAATTTATAGGAATTTTCTTGGCTCCACCACCCTCCCGCCAGATGTCTCCGTCTGTCGCAGTTAAATGTGCAGGGTTGAGGGTCGGGCTTTCTTTTTTTTTTCTCTCTCTCTCTCTGTGAGAAGACTGTATTGGAATTTTTATATACAGTTTTGAAGGAGGGAGGGGAGAGGAGGGGAAACCAGCCCCCTCCCTTTCCTCACCGAGGCTGGCCCCTGAGGGTGGGAAGGTGGGGCTGGGCCCCTTCCCCTCAAGCACAAATGGCCAGGTTCCTCCAGACACAACAAGACACTAGACTGGGGCCACCCTGATGTTTGTACATTGGGTCTCCCAGAGTAGAAAGCCCCAGAGATTTGTTTTGTAAGGGGTTGGCATGCGGTGGGGCACTGGGTAACTGGGTGACCCCTGGGGACATTCGCCAAACCCATCTATATTTGCTGCATGTTTTTTTTTTTTTTCTGTAAAAAGATAACCATAGTCCTTTCAAGTGCTTTCAGCGAGGGCCCTCTGGCAGTCTCTGTTCCAAATTCGTTATTTAGGGGCAAAGATTTGGAACCGGTTTCTCTCATCTTTTCCCTCTTTTTGGAACTGTTCTTATATAATTCAAAGAAAATGTTTTTGTCAATACAATTCTGTGGAATGACAGACAAAATCACCCCGATAATGGGCAATCACATCCAGGCTCCGTCGTCGTTTTTGATGACAGGGATCCATGCAGCTTAGCTATCCGAATCTGTAATTTGTAAATGTGAGTCTTGAGACAAACTCTGAAAGCTAGGGTGTATATACAGCCCCGCAATTCCCTTATGTGCTCCCACAAAAGTATTTTAAGTTGGTGTGCCTCTGTGCACACGAGAAGGAATCTTATATGTATGTTTTCTGCCTGTGCTATGGAGTAAACCTGACCCCATGCACATCTGAAGCTTGTGTCCTCTGTGGCGTGTAAGCACTGGCAGTGTTTATGAGTGTCAGCAAGAATGGAGCTGAGGGTGCTCTGTGAGTGTGTGCGTGTGTGTGCGTGTGTGTGCACACACAAGAGCTCTCTCGGTATGATATTTATCCCCTAGTCATATCAAGGAATATTGGCATGCTGGCCATGTTTCCTATAAAATAAGATGGGGATAACTCTATTAAGCAAACCTGTTTTTAGAGCAAAATGTTAATCTCCAAATGGATTCCGATTTTGGAGAAAAATATCTAAAACCTACAGCTATCACTTGCCCTGCAATATGCAGCCCAGAAAAGATCCCTGGCCCCAGAAGGGATTTCGGAAGGCTGGGGGTCATGGTGAAAGAAAAACAAAGGCTTCTGTGACCCAGGGCCAGGAACCTGCCCGTTCTCGGCGACCCTCTAAAAAAAGAAAAAAGGGGTCTCTGTCCCCCCAAACAAACCCATCTTCTGGCCCCTGGGATGTCCAACCCCCCTTGCCAGTCAGGGGCACTCTGGGCTCAGCCTCTCTGGGTAATCCCCTCCAGCCAAGGCGCTGCCCTGGAACAAAAGATCTTCGTCTAGACGCCGCCATAAAGCACCCCCCGTGCCTCTAAACCCAGTTTCATTTCGCCCTTAACGACCCAGTCTGGCCTGTGTTAGAAAATGCTTCCGCTCTAAACAGTAAACAAACCCACAGTGGATAGTCTTGGCTCCCCCAACACACCCCAGACCCCCACGCCATTACCCTTTTGCCCCGCATTTTCCCCCTCTTCTCCTCCAGCTTTTCTCAGCTCCCAGCTCCCCAACCCCCTCCCCCCCACCCAGTAAATAAACCCGAGGCCGAGTTCAAAGTTTCTTGGAGCTAAGGAGGAATGTTGGTTGTAAAAATCCAAGTTTATAGCGCACGTGGGAGTTTACAAGGGTATTAAGTGCTGTGGGCTGAGAGAGAGCACTCTGGGCCCCTCCCCCTCTCACTATGGGCTTTAGGGGTACAGGGAGAACCTTGGGGACTTGAAAAGAGAAATGGCTTGGGGCCAGCCTTGTGTTTGGGGTTTCTTTGTCCCTTAGACCCCTGGGTTGCTGAGGAATGGGGATACAAGGGCCCCTTAGAAGTAAGTGCACACAGCCGCCTCTGAGAGCAAGCCCACAGGTTTTAGATGTCCCAGATGGAGAGGATAGACAGCTCTGCTTTGGGAAAGCAAGAAAGTTACAGACCAGGTGTCTGAAAGGTGCACAGACATGGGGATACCTAAAGCCTGTTCTCAACCAGAGGGAGAAAAACTACCTGGGGCTAATTTCTCGAGTGGGCTGAAGGCAGAGGGGGATTTTCTCGCACGAGCAAAGGAGAACTTTGAACTTCAAGAAGTCAAGGGCGCCACCCCTTCCCTTTCCCCGCCCCCTCTCAGGAATCTGTAGGGCAATTCGTTTCTGGGCCAATATTCCCTCAAGGGGGCAGTCCCTGGGGTTTCCTGGTGCCCCAGGGCTGGATTTGCTGAACCCTTCCTGCTCAGAGCCCGCCAGAACCCTGTGCACGCGACTACACTCTTTATTATTCATATAAACCTTTGGAAAAGGCAACGCCCGGGAAGTTTTTATAACTTTGTTTGGCATAAAAGTTTTACAAGATTCCTCCTCCTTTTTAAAAAAACTTTCAGTTTTGGTCTTGCCATGGAATGAAACCTCAGAATCTTTAGGAGGTTGTGGGGAGAGAGGTTCTGGGGCCCCAGTGGGGGAGGTGGTGGCATCTGAAGCTGCCTCTCTCTGCCTAAAGCAAAACAGGCTGAAGGTTGTAGTCAGTCTTTTCCTGAGGCCCACCTTGGAGCGAGCTTTGGGGGCTACCAGCTCACGGAGGCTACAGGCCTGCAAGAGAGTCCTGGCCACTCTGTTCTTGAGACATACCTTGGCAGACCCCCAAAGTTGGGCAATGTCAGCAGGACCAGACCTTCCCCATCACTCCCTCTTGTTCTTCTGCAGGCATCAATTTCTCTCTCTCTCTTTCTACACACACACACACACACACACACACACACACACACACACACCCCAAACTGTCCCTCTACCCACTACACAAAGTAGAGATCCATAACTTTGACTCAGACCGCCAATTTGAGAGAGTCTACACACACGGCCTTGCATCCCTATTTCTTGCAAAGTCCACAGTGGGTTTGAAGAAAGACAGAATTCAAAACGCCAAGAAATTCCTGCCCAGAGGTTCCAGAGGTTGCAAGACTGCAGGAGGAGGGCCGGCAGGCTGCAGTCCGGAAGCACAGAGAACAAAGGTGCCCATGTGGGGACATGGCTTTGCGTTGCTAAGCCCACGGGTGACCCCCTCAGATCTTGACCCTCATCTGGGACTGACAGAGCCCCTACTCCTTCATTCCCCCTGACTCCAGCCTTGGGGATGCCAGTTCGGCTCAAATTGAGGCTATTTTAATGTTCAGCTCTGGAGGTCAGGGCAAAGATGGAGCAACTTCTCCAGACAGGCCTGGGGGACAAGGCTTCTTGAAGGTAATGGGACCGAAGGTACCTGAGCCCTGGGACTGGGTGCCTCAGGGAGCCATCAGGGCCGGTAGGAATGTGCCCCCGTGCCAGGTTTTCCTTCCCTCTGATGGCGACTGCTGAGGCCTGGCCGCCGGCCCAGGCATACACTTCGCCTTGTGAGGGGCCGAGTTATTAAGGCTGAAGGCCAGAGAAGGTCAACTCCAAGCCTGAGCAGTGAGGCTGGGGAGAGTTGCACCCGAGCCTGGGGCTTTCTCCTCCCTGAGCTCTGCACAACGGAGAGAAACAAGAAAGGCTAGGGGGGACCGAAAGTCAAGGGGGAAGGAAAGCAGTGAGGAGGAAAGAAAAGAGCCAAGAATAAATTGTGTCCTAAAGAAAAAAATGAAGAAGGAAATGAAGAAAACCATGAATTAAAAAAGAGAAAAGATCAGGGGGAAAAATGAAGGGAAAAATGAACTGCAGGAAAAGAGAGAAGGAAAGAGAAAGAGAGAAGGAAATAAAGAGAAAGAAGGATGAAGGAAAAAAAGGAAGGAAGGAAGGAAGAAAGAGAGAGAGAAAGGAAGAGAGAAAGAGGAAAAAAAGATGCAAAATGGATCTTCGCAAAGGAACTTAGCCGGTAAGGGAGGAGCGGGGGTTTTCTCCGAAGCCAGCCAGCCTAACCACAGCCCTGACTCCCCACTGGAAACCCTGTCTACTGGGGCAACTTGGGAGCAAATCACCAAAGTGGGGGGCCAGGCTTCCCCCCACCAAGACATCCTCCCGTCTGTTTCCTTCTCTCAGAGCTTCTTCCGAAGTGTTTGCTGTCTGGTTTCGATTCAGGAGGCAAAGTTAAATAACTGGCCGCCCTCCGGCGGGGCAAGAATGCAGTTGGGCTGGCGCAGGTTTATCGGGCTTCAGGATGCGGGGATCGTGCGGAGCAAGTCTCTTAGGTAAAGGTGGATATTTGCGGCTGTGTGCGCACGATGAAGTGCAAGTT